TAGTTAGTTTTTCAACTTTTAGCTCTGTGTGACATCTCGGATATAGGAAATTAGGCTCCACCCACCAGCTATTTGCGAGGGGCAGCCAATTAGAAGAAAGAGGGCTTAAAGACGGAGGAGACAACAGATTTTTGCTACCTTTAGAGGCAGAAACTACTCAAATTCTTTGAGCTTCAATACAATAACCAGGGTGGCTGCTCTGGAGTCCAAGAATCTATGAAAAAGAGCATTAATAACGCTTAATTAGCAGGTATACCATGGTCTGACATACAGCACTGCTATAACTTTGGATATAAAACAGAAGATGAAATATCAGCGACGTTTGGAGGGTTAGTGAAAGTGGGCTAGCTAACGACTAGCTACTACCTGGTGGCTATCTACAGAGCTATGGTTAGCTACTGTAAACGCAGTATAGCAGGGATGATCTTAATTTCATAGAGGCGCAAATATATGTCGAGAAAAATAAAGATACTATGTAGCGGCATAGTTGGGGCCATGTGAGTGATTCTTTTCTGAAACAGATCCCTCAACAGTTTTGTGGGACTCATTACAATTAAAAGGGAAAGCAGGTTAAAAGACAAGAGGCTCATCGTCAAACACAGGAGACAGGTGGACCCGGAAACAGGGTCGATATGTCGTCACTTAACAAGCAGACAGGAGACCTTTAAATGCCTCACTTCATCGAGCAGGTGTTGCACGTCCTAAATGAGTAACCTCTGTTGTAACAGAGGGTGTCTGTGGTGTTTTTTTGTCCCCTTCAACAACTGAATTGCCAGCAGCCGTCCTTGATGACTTTGCAGGCTGTTTGAGTGATTGTCGGAGTCACCTCTGCTTTTATTTTTTTAAAGCGGCGCCCGTGGTGTGACTGAAAAACATCAACAGCACCACACACATACAAAAAAGAAAAAAGGCAGCAGAAATAAATCCCTCCATATCTCCTCTCCCCGCTGCACCCACCTCTCTTCTCTCCATCTCCTATATTGAAAAAACAGGTTTAATCAATTGCAAAATAAGCGATGGACACAAAAGCGGCTGCAGAGGGGGACCGCAAGCGCACCTCCCGTTTGTTTTACCCACCTTCACGGAGCGGGCGAGTGGAGTTTACCTCATCGCCCTCTTCCAGAAATGCATATTAGCTGACTTTTAAATACATTCCTTGTGAGCTGAGTGACCTCCTTTTACTTCCCCTCTCCTGTCCTTGCACACCTACTCATTCATGCAATAATGCACTCCTGCACGCACACAGAGGGTTACACACATGCAGCATGACTCCATTTGTTCCACCCTGGCTATTTTATTTCATTTCACTCCCCTCTGATTTTATAAATCTTATAGGTGCTGCATTTTTCTAATACCCTCTGTATCATCTTTTGTTATCTGATCCACTCTTTTTTTTCCCCCCAGTGCTGATCTTGTTTTGTTTTCTGTTGTTTATTTATTCATTTATCTGCTCCCAGGTAAGATGCTTCATAAGCTTCTTAGCGGTGTTGTTTTTCCATCACCATTTGTATCCAGATTGCATTGTGTTGCTGTCTTTTTTATCCTCTTCCTGCCGTGCTTTAGCACCGTGCAGATACAATAGCCAAGTTAAGAGAACTGCATGTCTCTCTTCACTCCCACCCCCACACTCCCCATTCTCCCACCCACCGCCAACACCACCACCACCACCACCCTCGGAGGCAGAGCTGCGAGCGTCTCTCTCTGCTTAGTTTTGTTTGCCTATATAAAGCCTCATCAATAATGCAGAGGTCCCTGACTCCTCTCTTCCATACTGTGGAAGCTGTGCATGGGTTTTCTTTTTCCCCTGCTGCTGAGCAGCCGAGAACATCGCTGCTGCTGTCGGGTTGAAACAGCCTCCGAATCACAGAAACTAAATTAATCAGGAATTTGGTGAAATGGTTTTATTCTCAGTCCTAAAACAGTGAGGATTTGAGGGGTGTCTGAAAGGTTTATGACAGCGTTAAATCAGGAAACACGATGAACGTGGTGACTAAGAAAAGGTATCCATTTACAGTCTTAGTATTTCATTAGGGTGTACATTAAATGGTGACATTTGAAGCTAGCTAGAGGCATGCAGGAGTAACCAGTACACCAAAAGTCTCTTTGTTTGTTCCTCTGGGAGCGACTACCTGTATCAGCAACATTGATCCATGTGTGACTGTCAAACACGCCCCAGAACAGCCACATGCACACCAACGCACCACTCGCCGACTTGTTCCGGGTTGGCGCCAACATTAAACAAACATCCATCAAACAGAAGCAGATATCAGCGGAGGAGGAAACAGCAGGACGACGTCTGAAGACACATGGATCACATATAATCAGCTAAGTTGACGTATCCTCAGGAAAAACTCCTGGTATACTTCCTGCAACCCTCTGAAATCTCCGCTCATCATTCATATCAGTGACTATACAACTAACATCACGACTGTTTATTTAGGGCAGTGCAGCTGCAGGCCCTGAAATAGTGAATGTAGACTGGTTTTTATTCTGCTATTAGTGCTGTGAAATATAGTTCCTAAGATCTTGTGCAGTTTTCCTTACTGTTAACACTGCTAGATTTATACCTTTAGATTAATTTATATTGTACAGTCCGAATGGTTAATAAATGCACCAAAATTTTGTTCTCATGTCCACTAATTAGTTTACATTCTGAATGACAATAAAGTGATAAAAAATAAAAAATAAACCAAAAACTGAACCATGGGAGCCTGTAAGAAAACCCGAAGCGGATTAGATGAGTCGGATTTGGAGACATCTTGTTTAAAAATATCTTTCTGGGGCTCTTACTGGAGATGGTGTTGGGTGTGATTTCATTTCATGCTCAGCATGGTAAATATTTCCCTCTACTTTCATCCTTTGTGTGGTTTTAAAGCATTTCAGGAAAGAATTCCAAAGGGAAGTGCCCAAAAACTGTCACACATGTATGATCTGCTAGCATCATAGACTCGCTGAGCGCTATGTGGCCGTAAGCTTGTCACCCGTGTTAGTTATTATTGTTATTAATTGCTCATATTCCTTCGGCACCAAAGTAATCCATGGTAACTGTGCCTCCGCCGCCCTCACACACTGCAGAATTGCTCGCATTAATAACTGATGGTCTGAGGGTCAGCACTCAGCAGTTCATTAATTGCTAAATGAGACAGTAACAAAAGAAAATGACCAGGGCGCTCATGCACACGGGCTCCTTTCAAAGTGACCGCAAGTCACCAGCTCATTGTCCTTCGGCCACGTATAGCTTAACAGAGTAATCACTGTGCGGGACATTGTGTCAGTACACTTAGCGGTACTTAGCAAAAGAAAATGCGAAAACCAAAATATAAGCAAATGTGGTATAAAAAGACACTTAAATGAAGTTTCAAATAACAAGAGGTAGTGGCTCAACTGCCTTTAAAATCCACAATAACAGTAACAGCTTTTTCCCTCTTTTATAGCTCCCAGGCTAACAAATATTTTAGTGTTTTATTTTATTTTGATGTAGAAAACGCTAATGCTAGCAACTAGCACAGCTACCATTAGCCAAACTAAGTGTTTAATTAACATTTAATGTGATTAAATTTAAATGTAAATTTTAGCCCGTTAATTTTTAAGGACGCCCCGCCTTCTATTGATACTTATTGCTGGGGTGGACATGGACACATCAGTTGGCTAAGTGGAGTTGTTTAAAGCCCTGCCTTTCCATCAGATAACTGCATCAGTACTTTCCACCAACCCATTTTCCGCTTCCTGTCACTTGCTCGGTGGACTTATTTGTTTACATTTGGCTCGCACATCACCAACCGTGTACTTGATGATGTCTTTTATAGACTCAAGTGGTGAAACATATTATTTAAGGTCTTTACCTTACAATATAAAGAACCCTGAGGTGACTGTTGTTGTCATTTAACGCTACATTAATAAAATTGAAGTGAATTAAAAATAGTTTTGGCTTTCGTTTTTGTGCATATTTTGCACAGTAATGTGTGTTGATCGAGTTTGTCGAAGTATCTCCGTTTCCAGGTATTAAATCATCTTCGCAAGGTGACACAGTCTCTTCCTCAGACATGCCCGGGCTTATTTCATTGTTTTGTCCACTAAGTAACGTAAACCATTGCTATAGCAATGACATTGCAGTGTGACAATTTCACTAGGGATAATCTGATATGGAACAGGGCTAATTGTAAATAACCCCCCAAAAAAGGGCACAGGTATTTTTTGATCAGACTAATCGCACTTGTGTGTGATTAAAAGCCTGTCTGACACACTCTCAACAATACAGTTCGGCTCATCTCCTGACTCCTCATGTGGTGAATTAAAAGCGAGTCTGAGATGAGTTTGCTCTGAAAAGAGACCCGCAGGAAAAAGAAAAAGACAGAACCAGGGCTCCTCTCATCCCTCTAAACAGGACTGAAAAAGGAAATTGTAAAAGCAATTATCCAGACGTAAACTCTCAGCACAGCGTGTCAGCTCTGGCTGACCATCGCTCCGTCCCTCGGCTGCGCAGGGCAGGAGAGGCCAAGGCTGTTGAAGCCCACTGATGGAAGTGGAACCGTGGTGAAGCTGAAGGTTGGTTAAACAGAGAAGGCAGTGTGCACACTGAGCCTGACTGCAAACTTCAAATAATGCACAACCTTTTTAAAAGCGAGCAACTGATGAAGTCATGTCAGAAATAAATATTAACCTCAGAGCACATACGGACGTCTCTTGTAATAAATTTAACCGAACTTTCAGGTATCAGAGGACGAATCCTCTGACACGCAGGAACTGACTGGTTTTACATTTCCCCTTTGTTTGCAATTAACAGATGGAAGTCAGACCTGATGGTCACCGAGGCTGAACAGACAGAAAGAGAAACTAACTGCATCAGCAAGCAACTTTGAAGAAAGAGGACACCGCAGCCTCGCCACGCTGTGTGACTGACAGGTGACCTCTGAAATCAGACGACAGCGACGAGCAAATGTGAAGACAGAGAGACAAACCGGGATTAAAGCAGTGATGGGCTGGACTCTGGTGGGACTTACATGTGTGGGGACGAGGGCAGCTGGGTACGCCAGTTTGTGGTGCCTCCACATCCAGAAGGAGAAGAGGACGACAGCGGCCAGGCCTATGATGGGAACCAGGGAGTAAAGCAGGGTACTGAAGAGCTGGGGCTTCTGGGAGAACGGGTTGGAGGTGGCTGTGAGGGGAGAAACAGACATTATATAAGTCAGCCTGAGCTCCCTCGCTTTGTAACCACATTGTTCATGAGCTCATGGACTCGATCACCATTTTCAGGTCATAGCGAATAAATGATATAGGTAACTTTTACAAATCATAGTCATAATTAGAATTAGAAAGGAGAATTATCCGGTATGTTCAACACCAAGATGATAATAATGAAAACGCTCATCTTAAAGCTTCGTGATTGAACCAGTGTCTGAAATCATCGTGGTTATGTCCAGCTTTTATACTGCCTATGTAACGAAAGCTGTGAAATATCGACACTCAACCTTCTGAAGCACAAATCTGCAGGTGGAATGCAAAGGACATGCTTTCTTTCGCTAGATTAATACCTTTTGGGGTTTTGTTTTTAATATTTCAAGCTGTAAAAACAAGCATCAGATGTTCAAAATGCCCAGTGGGATTTAAACTACGCGTAACCCAAGGGTCCCGTAAGGAAAAGCCAACTAAATTAGGCTTCAGTGTGTAACAGAGGCAGAAATATTAGAAAGACTTCACTGCTCAACACGTCTCTTTTAATAGTTCTACAAAAATGACCAATGACCAACGACTAGACAAACAAACTTCAGCTGAAGTGAGGAGCCATGATAATAGATCGCCACGGTGCATTTTTATTCAACCAAACTCTCACAGCAGCAAAGGAAATAAATAGAAAGAATATAGGTGTTGCTAAATTGGCTATTGCTAAGTTGTTTAAATTGGATAGTACAATCGCGAATAAATTAAAAAAAAAACAAAAAAAACAGACAAATGACAACAGGGCAAAACTGAGGGTTCTGTCATTGTTGAATTGAACGTGCGATGAACTTAAGGTGTGCGGTGCCCTGTACAACTCCAAAATCAGTGAGTTTCTGTTAACGCTGTATACGACAGGCTCCGTCTACAAGCTGCATTTCCGGAGTACTTAAAGGAGAGACAAAGTGGTGCTTTCTGGTACAACCTCACCTACTTTCAAAGTGCAGGGAGAGCACGACAGATCTGAATATGTTAAAACACCAGCAGCACTTTGTGTGTAAAGAACAACTTCACTGATTCGCTGACGTGTCTCGACTTGTGGCCTTCATCAGGTTCCTGGCAGTAAGATAAACCGTGCCCGAGCGTTAAAATAATACAGAATTGCTCAACTTATTTGCAACCTGTTGGAACTGATAGTGCTCGATATGCCTCAAAGGGTGGACATGCAAGAACACCGAATCTCTCACAACTCATACACCATCAGGGATTGAGCAACCAAACTTGCCACACGTGTACATCTCAGGCCCCCGAAGGTTCTTATCTATACCAGATTATAAAATCATCATGTTGCTTAGCAACCACCTACCAATGAAGTTTAAATGACCCATTTCTAGCATTTAAGCACCCAAAACACCTCATAAAAGCATTGCATCCTTTTTTATTCATGATAATAACATCTAACTTCTATTCACAGCGCTTGAAAAGCATCATATGAGATGTTAAAGACCCCATCATGTTGCCTGCCTCCCACCTAATAAAAAATGACAATTATACTCTCACCTGAGGCTTTTTATTGCAGGTTGACCCAATTTTGCCTTCAATGCTGTTTCAATTCTTCATGGCACATACTTAACAAGAAGCTGGAAACAATGTTTAGAGATTTTGATGTGACAGCATGACAGTTGCTGCAGATTTGTTGACTGCACATGGACGATAAGAATCTGCTGTTCCACCACATCTTAAATGTGCTCTAACTGGATTGAGATCTGGTGACTGTGGAGGCCGTTGGAGTACAGTGAACTCATTGTCATGTTCAAGAAACCTTGAGGAACAAACTTCCTGTGCCTTGCCCACCAGCTTGCACTGCAGCAGGATGGCCCACGCATCCCGCGGCCAACGCAAGGCCATGATCTGAGCTTTGTGACATGGAGTATTACCCATCAGAAGATGGTAGACGGTAGACATAAAGAGATAGACATGGTCAGAAACAACACTCAGGTACAGTGGGGCAAAAAAGTATTTAGTCAGCCACCGATTGTGCAAGTTCCCCCACTTAAAATGATGACAGAGGTCAGTAATTTGCACCAG